CCCGACTTTCACGTGTCAGCCTTCAGGACCCCTCTCCTCTCCCGAAGCATCTCTCTCCGGTCCCCATGCCCCGCGTTTTGGCCGAGATGGCTCCCCAGGGAAACAGCGATCCCCCACCCCCACTCCGTCGCTGAGTGTGTGTGTGTGTGTGTGTGTGTGTGTGTGTGCGCGCGCTCGCCAGAGGGGGAAATGAGATGAGCGGGGGAGCGAGAGTAGGCCACCACTGCGCCTGCTGCTGACTAATAGCGACCCTATAGGGCAAAGTAGAACTGCCCCATGGGGTTCCCAAGGCCATAAATCTTTATGGAAGCAGACTGCCACATCTTTCTCCTGCAGAGCGGCTAATGAGTTCGAACTGCCTACCTTTTATCAGCCAAGCGCTTAACCACTAAGCCACCAGGACTCCTCAGCCTAGCACTTAGTAGGTGCTTAAGCTGTGTTTGTAGTAATGGCCCATAGGATGGAAGGCGGCTGGTGGCCCAGTCATCCTCTTCTCCGCTTCTTGTACCCAGTTCTACTGTTGAATTCACATTCATCTGCCCAGTGAAGGCTTTTTGGCTTCTAAACATGTGTTGAGCACCTACTACGCGCCCGGTCTAAGCTGGGCCAGTTCCTGGAAGCTGCAGGCGGAGCCGCCTGGTTTTCCCCTGCAGAACTGCCTGAGACCGCCCTGAATCTCGGAAAAGACAAGGTGCAGTGCCCCCTGCCGGCCTCTACGGGAACTGTCGCTTGGCTCCGAGGTGGGGAAGGGGCACCAGGGGCGGGGTACCTGGGACCACTGGCTGCACCTCCCTGCACCCCCCTTTCTGCCCCTACACTGCTGGCCATTTTCTGAAATACTGCAGACGACTGAAAAGACCGACCAGAATTCACTATTCTATGCTTCCTGCAAGTGCCCAGATTTGGCTGCAGGGTGGGGACTTCATAGCCTCTAATCTGTCTGCCTCTGGCTTTGGGCATGAGACTTAACCACTCAGAGCCTCAGCCTCCATATCTGTAAAGTGGGATCATTATTAACTAGTTAACAGTGGCTGCGGAGTCGATTCCCAACTCGTGGCAGATCCCATGTGTGTCAGAGTAGAACTGTGCGCCATACGGTTTTCAGTGACTGATTTTTGAAAGTAAAGTGCCAGGCCTTTCTTCTGAGGTGCCTCTGGGTGGACTTGAACCTCCAACCTTTTGGTTAACAGATGAGAGAGTGTTAACGGTTTGCACCACCCAGGGACAGGGTCATTATTAGTACATCACAAATATGATGTATAGAGTACATATTACATAAGAGTGTACACATACATATGTGTTTACATATTTATATATATGGATATATATACACACATTCAGACACATGAGATATATCTGCGTGTATATATGTGTAGCTACATATATGTGTGTATATATATATCTTGTCTTCAAGGCCTGGGGAAAGGAGTTCCGTCATACAGTTTTTGCTGAATACATAAATGAAAGAGTTGCCTTTCCTCAATCCCACAAGCTCAGGAGTCTGCTGTCCTGCATCTTGCTGACTCCACATTAGCAGTCCAGTTTGTACCGTTAGGCCAAGGGCAGGGCCTGGGCCTGAGTGAGTCTTCACTTCACCTCACTGGCTGGTAGACGCATGCCCTGCCTGAGCCCCAGAGAAGAAAACAGGAAGTGTTGCCAGAGTGATGGCAGGGGTGTGGATTTGCTCCCCCGCAGCAGCTTTGCAACAGCAAGCGGAAATGATAGCTTTCCTGCTAACTTTTCCCTGGGCTGTGTTCTGCTGGGAGGCTCAGGCTGGGCATGTCTCCAGCAGGCTCACCAGCACCCCTCTTGAAGCCTGCGACCATCACAGAATTGGCCATCACCTATACAGGAGCCCTGGTCCCCGAGGTATGGTGGGGTGGCTCCCTCTGTGGATGGGGCAGTGAGGGGTCTTCTGAGGTCCTAGATCTAGGGTGCAGTGGGGCTCTGGTTAGGTTGGTCTCTGTCTCCTTTCTCCACCAAGGAGCCCGTCCACCTCCGCCAGTACACCACGCTGTAGCCAGGTTTCTGGCAGCCCTCAGGACTGGGCCTCTGCGATGTGTGAGTTTTGAACCTCCTGGTCAGTTAACCTTGCTTGAGTCAGTTCCCGTGTGGAAGGCTGCTGACTCAGAGGGTTTGTATTTGGACAGGGCTTTGCTTTGTGGAGTCTTAACCTTAACCCTCACCTCAGGCCCCCTCCCAAACCACAAAAAGCAACAAGAAACAGAAAAATAAAATCCATCATTCATCTTGTCCTTACACGGCTTTCTAAAGAGCTCTGTAAACACATGTTCCACAGACTGATGGGAGAGCTGTTCCAGTCACAAAGAATTCTAGAATAAGCCTTACATTAAAAAAAAAAAAAATTGCCATTGAGTCAATTCTGACTTGCAGCAACACCATCTGTGTTAGAGTGGAACTGTGCTCTCTGGGGTTTCAGTGGCTGTGATCTTGTGGAATCTGTCTTGGAAGAAGTACAGCCAGAATGCTCCTTGGAAGTGAGGATGGTGAGGCTTCGTCTTCCTTACTTTGGACAAGTTATCAGGAGGGACCAGTCCCTGGAGAAGGACATCATGTGTGGTAAAGTAAAGGGTCAGTGGAAGGGAGGAAGACCTTTAACGAGATGGACTGACACAGTGGCTGCAACAATGGGCTCAAACATAGCAGTGATTGTGAGGATGGCGCAGGACGGGCAGTGTTTTGTTCTGCTGTAGATACGGTCGCTATGAGTCGGAATGGACTCAATGGCACCTAACAGTAGCAACAATTTGTGGAAAGTAGATCACCAGACCTTCGTTTGGAGACACCTCTGGGTAGATTCAAACCACCAGCCTTTTGGTTAGTGGCCATGTGCTTAACCGTTTGCCCCACCCAGGGACATGAAACAGCAGTGTTCAGCTGTGGACCTGTGGTGGGCCTTTCAGGGCCCCTCCTGCGGAGCTGGGACTGAGAGCTCACTCATGTTCTAGGAGCTCAGACCTACACACTAGAGAGACCCGCCATCTAGCCCTGGGCCAAGGCTCCAATGCTTTGCAGCTTGGCACCCCAACTCTACAAGCTCTGGGCCTCAGTTACCCTCTCTGCAAGGTGAGAGGCATGGAGTCCTGCTGACGGTCTCCTTGGGTTAGTAAAGCCTGTCTTCTGTAAGACAGCACCCAACTCACTTACTTTTCCTCTGGTTTCGCCCGCAGACCTGCCCTGAAGGACAGACAGCCCTGGCTCGGGAAGACTGAGCCGACTCCACCCTGTGCCGAGGGCCTTTCCACTCTCACCCACTGAGCGTGCCAGGGCCTCACAGAGCCCACACTCACGGGCCTAAGGCACCCTCCAGCAGTTGTCGGCACTGGGTGTTCAGAGACGGCCTAGAAGTTTCAGATTCTGGCTTCTGAAACCTGTCAGAGCTGACACTGCGCCTGTGGGGACTACCACATGATGCATATTGCAAACAGGAACCACAGTGGCCTCAAAAGGGCTGGTGTTGTTCCCCATCTCAGAGCTGAAAATGACCTTAGAGAGCATTTTGGTCAAAATGCAAAAATACTGGGGCCCAGAGGGACTGTTGGTGGCAAAGCTAGCTAGAACACTGATCTCTTCAACTCCAGATGAGTTAACCCTCTCTGTGCCCCCTTCCTCAAACTCACACACTTTTCTGTACACTTAAGTCTCTGTTCCCTTATTGCAGAAACCAACATACCCTTGGGAACGCTGGGGATTTTGTTGTTTGTTTTGTTGGTTGGATTGTCTTGGTTTCAGTTGAACCAACATTTATTAGGTGGCTGCTAACCGAAAGGTTGGTGGTAAAAACCCACACAGTAGTGCTGTGGAAGGAAGGCCTGGTGGTCTGCTTCTATAAAGATTATAGCCAAGAAAACCCTATGGAGCCGTTCTACCCAGTAACACATGGGGTCACCATGAGTTGGAAGCGACTCAACGTCAATGGGTTTTATTAAGTTCTAAGCACCATGCAAGTTGCTGGAGATAGAAAGATGGAAGAGCATGTGATTCTTGTCCTCTTGTCCTTCCAGAGGTCACAGTGCTGGGGCGGTGGTGGGGAACGTGGGAACATACAATTACACTGCAGTGCGGTTTGTACTATTCTAAACTGGAATAGGATTGGAACACAGAAGGGAGTGGTTTCCTCTGCTTTGAGGGACTCAGGGATGGATTTATTGAGCAACCTCGGACATTCTTCTGAGCATAAGTCAGACTGCAGGAGAGCAGAGGTGTTTTCTTGAATGCCTAGAACTGATATCTAAACAAAGTGGCTTGCGACCTGTGTGTGCAAAAATAATAAAAATAAAGAATAATCGAATAAAGTAAAATAACCGATGGGCCATAAGTCTGTTCTGCATGGTTCTCAAGAAGTGAGGGAACTGGGACTTTTAGGGGTTCAGTGCTTTGCCCCCTGTTTCCTTCAGTATGTCCCGATCTCTAGTTTGTTTATGTGGGATTAATCTGGCCACTCAGCCACAGTGCGGATCCCTCAACTATGTGACCTTCCAAGGGTTAGGAGTCTCAGGATAACTGTGTGCCTTGCTTTTCCTTTTAAAAGGAAATTTAATGCTGAACTTTAATAGTTTGTCCTTATGGTTAAGCTCTTGACTACTAGCCAAAGGTTGGCCTTTCGAGCCCACCCGGAGGTGCCTCAGAAGAACGATCTGGTGATCTGCTTCCAAAAGGTCACAGCCTTGAAAACCCTACTCTGCACATACACGGTCACCGTGAGTCTGAATTGACTTGCAGTGTGATGGATCACTTTTATATGGCCTTTCTCACCATGTGATTGGGTGGGACTATACAAGTACAGTAATTGTGGCCCACCAAGGGGATTGGATAGCTTGCTAATAATGCAAATAAAGTTCATGGCACCTGTTCCGGGGGGGGCATGCAAATAAGGTATATGGAACCCTAATGAAGAGGTTAGTCAGTTTTGCCATCCTGCTAGGCTTAAAATGAGCCATCCCAGAAGTGAGAGGAGAGGACCTCACCACCACCAAGAAAGAAGAGCCAGGAGTGGACTGTGTCCTTTGGACCTGGGATCCTCGTGCAGAGAAGCTCCTGGAACCAGGAGACCGAGGGAGAGAGAGCTGTAACACTGGAGATGACAAGAAGTGGTGGCGGAGAAGCAGCGGCAGCCGAGGCAGCGCTGGGCTTCCTCGTCCTTGGAGCGAGAAAGTTGAGTACTTTCAGGCAGAAGTCTTGCTGGCAGAGTGTGCTTTGGGGAACTTGGTGGAACTAGCTTTGCCGACCCACAGGGTTAGAAACCTGACCTGAGCACCTTCAGCATGAGGCTTACTGGCAGAGGAGGGTGCCTCAAACGCTCATCGGCAGAGTTAAAAGAGCTTTGTAACACTTGCCCGAGCAGGGCAGAGGCCAAGGGCCAGAGAGAAGCCTGCCTGTGGGCGTGGCTGGAGAAGAAGTTGTTCTGATGGAAGAGCTATATCCTGAGCATTCCTGAACCTGAGTTGTAACCTGTTACTTCTCTAATAAACCCCATAACTGTGAGCACTGTCTGTGAATTCTGTGTGGCCACTGCAATGAGTTCTTGAACCGAGCATGGAAGTCGAGAGTGCCGTGGGAGGGACGGTTGGTGTCAGAACTGGTGTAAAGAATCGGTGAGAGGAAGCATGTCTGACCTCCGCCTCATTGGTTCTCCTCCACCTTGTGAAGCTAGAGGAGGTCAGATGCTGCCACCACACCATTTTTACACAAATTTTCGGCAACTAACAACAATAATTGATCTCAGATTTCAATAGCTGATTCGGGAGGGGGTCAAAAAACATAGCAGGTGGCATGTGGAGAAAGTGGGCCAGGTTTGCAGGAGGATGCTACTCCTGTGTTGCTGACTCCGGTGAGCCCCTTCCCCTTCATGAGCCAGGCTTGAGGTGCCGTGGGGCCATTGTCCGCAGTGACACAGGGCCAGTGTGACGACTTGCGGGGAGGCCCCTGGGAGCACCTTGCAGGGGGCCCGGCTCCTGGAGCCTCTCAGTATTCCAGTTGAGCTAAGAGGCTGTGTGGGAGAGGGTTGTAAGAGGAGATGTTTGCATGGGATACAGCATTGTAACAGAGCGTGTGGGTAATGGAAGAGTTGACTGAAGGTGGAAAGTTTTGGAAAGCTCACAGAAAACGCTTGAAGTACAAGGCTGGTTTCAATGTTAATATGGCTGGTGAATTACATCCCGGGAAGGAGCAAAGTGGAGTGACGGTGTTAGAGTAGCGCTGTTGCCTTGTTCCTGTGGATTCTATAAAACCTTTAGAGTTTCTTTTTCCTTAGGCCATAACACCGAGAATGACCAATTCGCCAGAGCTGTGGCCTTAGAAGGAGCCCAGAGCGCTGTCGCCAGGAGCCAGGACATCTAGGGAGAGAGGCTGGTGGAGGGTGCTCAGCCACGAGCCTTCACCCACTCAACTGAGCCCATTGCATGTAGCCTGGGTGGTCAGCAGGGCTGAGATATGTATCAAAGTCGAAGGCACCTGTGGATTCAGTATGTTGTGGTTAACACCCTAGACGACCTTCTGGAGGGAGGGCTCTGGTCTTAGCATATTTCTGGGAGAAGCAGAGGGACCGGGCAGAGAAACCACTGACCTAGGACTCAGAACTCCTGGGCCCTAGTCCTGGTCCCATCATACCTACTCCTGGCAGGGAACCCTGGGTGAGTGGCTTAACCTTAGTGTTTCCTGTCCTCAACCTGGAGGTGGCGCGGTTAATCCCCACTCGGCCTCTATCATAGGATGGTTGTAGGACCCACAGGATGAGGCATCAGAACATACCTTATTGATAACAGTTTTAGTAACATCCCTTATAGTGTTTAGTGTGTGCCAAGGACGGTGTCAAGCATCTTAAATGCTGTATCCTTCTGAGTCCCAGCAAAAACATAGCACACTCAAATTGAGTGGACAGTTTAATTAAGGGAGTAGTTACAGAGGTGGGAAACCAGTAAGGATGCTGTAAGACCTGGGCCCAATTACCACGCTGGGAGAGGGGAGGAGAGGCAAAGGAGGGATGGGGCAGAGAAACCAGGAGAGTGTAGCAGTAGGAGCTGGTGGGGCCAGCTGGTCAACCTGGGCAGGGAAGGAGCCAGGAGGATAAATACTGCCACCTTGTTCTCTTCCCCTCTGCCCTCCACAACTCCAGTGCCACCAAGGGCTGAGCCATGGGCTCACTGATGCTGCCTCCTGGGAACAAGGCAGGGTGGAGACAGACTACGAGTAGACCTGGAAGGTGAACTGAAGCAAACACGCATACACCCACCATCTCGTATGATTCTGTAGCAGCCACGAGGGAGATATCTCAGGATTCCCAATTGGCAGGTGAGGAACCTGTGGCACAGCCATGGTGATACCCTTGCCTAAGGCCACACAGGTGATAGAAGAACCAGGGTTGGAGGCCAGAAACTCGGACAGAGCCCAAAATTAAACCCATTGTGCTCCATCGCCCCTAGTAAAATGAAAGCACCGGATGTAAGATGTTATTATTAGGACCCTCAAATTGTTATCTTCAGCATCTTAATGAGAAGCAGAATAGCATGAGTATGAAGGGGTGCCTGGGTTTCAATTCCGGGTTCATCACTTACTACTCAGTGGCCCTGATCAAGTTATTCACCTTCTCGGTGTCTGTATTTGTCGTGGAGATAATACTGTGTGCTTCCTATGGTTGATGTGAAAAATAAACAAGTTTATTCACTAAGGAACTTAGGATAGATCCTGACATATGAGAAGCATTCAACAAATGTTAGCTGTTATCTTGAGAAGGTAAAGATTCAGGTATGCTGGTATAGGAATGGGGTCAGGCTGTAAGATGTCCTCTTAGCCTAAGGCTATTATTTGAATATTCTTACATTAAAGATAGTTTCTTCCAGTTAGTCTGGGGATGTTTGGATTATTTCTTCTGACCCTATCTGTGTATGTATATATATATACAATGTTTCAAAAAAAAAAACCAATAAGCAAGTACCACCGTGAACAGAGAAAAGATCGAAGTTGTCAAGAATTTCATTTTACTTGGATCCACAATCAATGCCCATGGAAGCAGCAGTCAAGAAATCAAATGATATATTCCATCAGCCAAATCTGGCACAAGTGACCTCTTTAAAGTGTTAAAAAGCAAAGATATCATTTTGAGGACTAAGGTGTGCCTGACCCAAGCCATGGTATTTTGAATCACCTTGTATGCATACGAAAGCTGGACAATGAATAAGGAAGATGGAAAAAGAATTGATGCCTTTGAAATATGGTGATGACAAAGAATATTGAGTATACCAGGGACTGCCAGAAGAACAAACAAATCTGTCTTGGAAGAAGTACAGCCAGAATGCTCCTTAGAAGTGAGGATGGTGAGACTTCATCTCATGTACTTTGGACATGTTATCAGGACGGAACGGTCTCTGGAGAAGGACATCATGTTTGGTAAAGTAATGGTCAGCAGAAAAGAGGAAGACCTTCAACAAGATGGACTGACACAGTGGCTGCAACAATGGGCTCAAACATAACAACGATTGTGAGGATGGTGCAAGACTAGGCAGTGTTTCGTACCGTCGTGTACAGGGTTGCGATGAGTTGGAACTGACTTGATGGCACCACCACCACCACCATATATATGTATGTGTGTGTGTGTGCCTGTGTGAGTGTGTGTGTATGTGTGTGTATATATATATTTAAAAAAAAAAAAAAACCCGTCGCCATGAAGTCGATTCCCACTCATAGCGACCCTACAGGACAGAGTAGAACTGCCCCATAGGGTTTCCAGGGAGCAGCTGGTGGATTCAAAATGCTGACCTTTTGGTTAGCAGCTGAACTCTTAACCACTGCACCACAAGGGCGCCATATGTGTGTATGTGTGTGTATATATATGTATATATATATA